TGAAAGTAGAGCTATGACTCATGACTCTCTTCTAGATCTTTATTTTATGGGAAAAATGGAACTATTTTTCACAATAGAGCCCTCCTTGTAGTGCCAAACTGTTGACGTCAAAAATTGTGAGGACTAAATTTTTAAGCCAACTTTAAGAAAAAGGAGCCTTCATATTCATACAGAGAGATCAATTTGTACAGTTTTCTATCTCTTTTCTTCCAAAACCCTCTTATCCCTTTGGAGAGGATCATTTTTCACTATTTATAAGGGATTTGGCTGAAATTATGTCACTGTTTCCTTCAGGTAATGATGGATTGCAAAGTATAGAAAAGCCAAGGCAGTTAATTAGTGGGTATAAATAGTACTGACCTCATATTCTACAAGTGTATGTGATTGAAGGGATGATGTGACAGGATATAAGGAATCTGCAATCATTATGTCATTTGAGGTTACATGGCAATATGCCAAGTTGAGCTTTTAGGATCAAGCTCACACATGTATGAGGTGGGCCCTACGAGCAATAGATGTGAGATCGGAGGTTGGTCGTCAACATGTTTCATCAGTTTGCGAATAAGTGATGATAATTTTTTTTCTAATTCAATATGTTAAATGAACTTACGTACTTGTAAACCAAGATCACAATATATAGCATAATCACTTAACCTATTTAAAGGATAAGTTCGGGAGTGATTGATTATGTTTTGGGAGCTATTTAGATATGTGATTTCGTGCATGTTGAATATTTTTGTGGAATTTCTCTGCTAATACGTAGAGACTAAATATAACTTTCTACTATGTGTTTGATTTCAATTAATTGTCCAAAAAATAAAAGGCATCATACTAGCTGTGAAACATATAAAAATTTACCTATATTATTGTATGTAGCTAATCTTGAGTAATTCGACCCTATTCATTATGTTCAGGAGATAATTTATTGAGAAAGAAGGTTGTTTGCAACGTAAAGTGAAAACTACATTCAATAACCAAAGAAAATGGCAATGTCTGCCTTAAATTATACGACGGATTTGTGCAATAGTCCGGGCCTAAGCACCCCGATGTATTATATTTTTACGAGTGTTATTTGGCAAAAAGTTTGATTAAATTTTCAAAAAATAAAGTAATAGAACAATGGACTCCATCAATTACATATCAATTTCTTTCTTTTTTGATAGATCATGAAAAGATAGTTGTTATATAGCCCAACGTTCCTCATAAGAGGGTCGATGATGTACTTATCTTTTGAAAAAGCAATTTTCCTTTTTAATAATGATAAATAAGGTAAACTTCATAACTCCAATCTAGTAAAGAGTCTGCGGCTGTCATTTGACATCCTTAAATTTAAGGTAGATTTGCAAAATTCAATGATTTTTTAAACATTTTAATCGACCAGGACCTAATTTCACATTTATATGAATTGACAAGTTTGAATTACGAACCAAATTAAGGGTTTTTTTTTTTTAATTGAGATGGTTCCACGTGGGTTATGTTAAGCTCACCCTGTTTGACGAGATGACAAAATTTTGGGAAAAATTCATAAATAAGAGATTAAGTATTACACATTTTAAAATTAAGAAACAAAGTTTCAAATTTCAAAAATTAGATATTTGAAAATTTATTTATAAATTAATTCATTAAACATATATTTTACTAATTAAATATATTGAGGTCACAATTCTATATAATTTGGTCACAGTTATCTATTTAATTAATCACAGATTAATTTTTAGTCACAATTTATCAAATTATTGGCCATTACTTATTTCTCGATCACAAATGAAAAATTTTATAGGTTACGGATTATTTTTTGGTCAAAAATAATTTTTTTTATAGGTCATAGATTATTCATCGGTTACATAATCAAAACTTTTATTGGTTACGATTCATTTATTCATTGCAAATTATTAGATTAATTGATCACGACTTAATCAATTGTGAGTCACAGTCACAAATTTAGGTCATATATTACAAATTAACTAATTATTAGTTATAATCAACCAAATAATTGTTCGCAAGCATCCAACCCCATCTCATCCTACCCATAATCACACAACCACTATCACTATCACCATTACCGCCACCACCACAATAGAGTACCGTTGCCAACAGAGCCACCACCACTTCATGACAACCTATCAACACCACAACAGATTCACCATCACAACAAGAGCATTGTCGCCACTACCACCTCACGACAAACCGGTCAATACAGGACACCAACAAATTCACCACCATAACAAAGTACCATCGCCACCACAACCACCATCACTATTACCATTACCAATACCACCACTGCCATGACCACCACGACCGTCACAACATCATCAAAACTATCAATTCACCACCACAACCCGCACCACAACCACTAGCTCTCCACCAACAAATCAAATCCAAAATGCCATTACCTTATTGCCATCGTCGTCACCTCCACCATCACTGCCATCACCATCTCCACCATTTTTCAACCACCACCACAAACACTCTTTCACAGAATATGCAAGAAAAAATCACCATGATACCACCATCACCACAACCAACCACCATACTAGCTTCCAGCCAAAAGAGCCATCACCATCACTCCAACAAACAAAACTAAAACCACCTTAACTCGCCCCAGATCCACCAATACCTTCTCTGATGCGAAGCATAGCCTTGTAGCGATGATTGGAGCATCTATGTCTCCGACACCGTCCAAGTGCACGAAGTGACGACTGTGCCTTCAATGCCACGCCTCACTGCCGGGTGTGCCATCTCGTTAGAGGTGGTATGTTGGTGGTCTTCGGCGAATGTTTATGGTGGTTGGGGTAAATGGATGGGGAGAGAGAGAGAGAGAGAGAGAGAGAGAGAGAGAGAGAGAGAG